CTCCCAGCGATTTATGGCAGGTTGACCAACCCCCAGTTGAAAAAACGTGGCTTAGCCCCACTTTTGTCTCGGGTTTTCTACCCCCTAGACCTACACCATCGACACCGTGGGGCGAAGGATCTTAATTCTCGTGGGCTTCAGCATCTGCAGCACTCTGTGTGTCTTGTTAACCATAACTCTCGAACTTCAGGTCTGTAATCGAAACGTCTCGAAGAACTTCTCGGAAAAAATGCCCACGGCCCGAACGTGCGCCGGTATTTTCTGCGGGGCTTGGCCGGGTCCCGTGTTTTCAAAAGGGGGACATTCACCCCACCCCACACTTGGGGGGAGGTTATCGGGCTGCAGAAAAGGAGACTGTTGGAGGTCTCCCTGTGGCCATTTTAATTTAATTTAATTTAATTTAATCTAATTTAATCTAATCTCCTTGTGGCAATTTTAACTGATTTTAAAATTTAATTTTAATTTAAGGAAAGGACGGTTGCTTTTCGCGGACGTGCCTTCTGGCAAAACGTAGCTGCCCTTCCGTTCGGTTGGCCCGCGTTAGGGGTGACCAGCTTGTGGGGGCCCGAGATAGCAAAGGGTGGGAGATCGAAAGGGTGCCCCATCAATGCCATAATTGACATCGGGGGGCTTTCTCCAACAGGCCACAACCTCCTGGATGCCTTACGTCACATCCTCTTTTCTCTTCCTCTTCCTCATCGGTCACCTGTTGGGGCCAGGTAAAGCAGCTTCACCTGGGTGCTGGGTCCCCACCCACTGATAGGGAGGGAGGATCATTGGGGGGCGACTCACTAACCCCCATCTCCCCCCCCCCAGGTCCGTTACCAAACGTGATCATTGCAGAGCTGTTCCTCCAGTCTTCCCGATCCACGGGGGTCGTGCTGGGTGGTTTTATTCACTGGTTTCTCAATTTTTTTACTGGGGTAGTGGTCCTTCACATAGAGGTGAGTGAATCGGCATGGGGGGGCCGTGGAGGATCTGCATTAGGAAACCGAGCCCCCTCCTCATTCAAATAGATATGCCCCGACCTGTGGCCGAAGGACGCTTTTCAACGGGATCCCAGTGGAATAGGACGCTAGAAACCAAATACTTTTTAACTGTTTTTTTTTCCTCTTTTTTTTCCTACTCTGCTTAAAAGTGGAGGCTTTAGGAGGAAGGACTAAGTTTAAGATAGAAAATCTGTTTTGTAACAGATGCATTTAGCGTTTTGTAGCTGTTTAGCAATGCTAAATAGCTCCAGGTGTGAAGCAGCCTGACACTTAGCAGCATTCATCGTTAATATCGGCATAACCCCTTTTTTCCCTTTATCTTTTAAGGTTTAAGCCAGTGTTTTTCAAAATTGGCAACTTCAGGATGTGTGGACTTCAACTCTCAGAATTCCCCACTCCCAGAGAATTCTGGGAGTTGAAGTCCACACATCTTAAAGTTGCCAACTTTGAAAAATACTGGTTTAAGTCCTCTAAATCATCCGTTTGAATAATCTCTGTATAAATGCCACCGTACCCAAATAATATAATGCATTAATTGCATTTTACTGTATAATAATACAATATTTTAAACGATGCAATAGGACGGGGGCACGGCTTCCTGTCTGAGAAGGAACCCCATTAGTGCATATCATTTAATTCCGTTTAAATGGGAACAAAGATCATTTTTCTCCTGGCCCTACTCCTTTTCTCTCTCCTCCTGACCCCGTCGAACCTGCTAAAAGTGAGGGTGGGTCCCCAGACCCTTTTTTTAAACGCCAAGCTTGCTTTTTCATACCTCCCTTCATCCAACGCTGTCCATTTTTTCCCTTAACAACAACAAAAATCATTTTATCCCCTTTCCAGTCGTTTTGACGTTCTCTTTCTTTAACACCCACATTTTTTGGGAGGGGGGAGAAATCTCTTTATTGAGTCCACCACAAGGGACCCTCCCACGTTAGGCTGACCGCCGTCTCTCTCTCTCGATTTTTCACTCCAGGCGAAGATCGGCTCGTACTGCTTTCTCCTCTTCTGGCCTTTCTGCATAGCCAGCTTTGTTTTCATCTTCAGGACTATCCCTGAGACCAAAAACAAGACCTTTTTGGAGATCCGGAGGCTTATGGCCGTGCAGGTGGCCAAAAAGGTTCACGTCCAGGTGCCTGATGACCGACTGGGACCACGGAGCCGGTTGATGCGTCTGAACAGGAAGAGGCGCCGAAAACACAGGACCATCCAGCCAGCTTCCTTCGTCCCGTCCGTGCCCTCGATTTGAAGAAGTAGTTCTTCCTCCCTGCTCTGTTGAGATTTTTCTACTCTCGCGTGCAATTTTTAAAATAAAGAGGTGTCTTCATGGTGGAAGAGAGTTGCTTGCTCTGCTGGCGGGGTTCTGTAACAGCAGGCGGGAGACGGGAGGGACGGCCGGGGTGTAAAAGGTGGCTCGGCCCGCAGAAGGAAAAGGGGTGTGGGAAGCATCTCAAAAGGGTTTGCAAAAGGAGAGGAGGGGAGAAAGGCTTTTGGGCTTGCAAGGCTCTGCCGTGTCACCTTACAATAAAGACAGAGCTAGTCCTGAAAATTGTGCTTCGTGCATGGGCTACCTCGAAGGGCTGGAGGGTTCTTTGGGACGTCCCGTTGGACATCCAAGGTGGGCTTTCTCACCCTGGGGGGGGACCCTGGTTAGCCACCGCAGGTCTGCATTCAGGGCTCCCCACGTTCCTCCAAACGGGCTCTGGGTGCATCTATTTCCAGACCCCCATGGGGGGTGGGAGATGAGGGGTGGGAGAGGGGGGTCTGCACCAGGCCCTCGGAAAGGAAAAGTCACCATTTTGGCAACCTGTTTTGGTGGAAGGGGCTACACAATTGGTCTTTGTGGGAAAACTGCTGGAGCAGATGTTCTATCTAGGCCTGATGTGAGCCTCTTTGAGAGTTAAGCAGAAAGATGAAATAATAAAAAAATAAAAATAAAATAAAATAAAATAAAATAAAATAAAATAAAATAAAATAAAA